GGTGACTCGTCTGCTGAGTTCTCGGGGTTTGGCTCTCCTTGCGGTTCATGTTCATGGGGTGTCAAACATCCTGGCAGACAGCCTGTCTCTGTTCCTTCCCCATTCCATGGAATGGACAGACGACACCAACTTGTTCAGTTGGCTCTGCCGGACGTATGGGCGCCCAGAGGTGGAGCTCTTTCCATCGGCGTGGTCGAGGCATCTTCCAGTTTGTGGCGCCCTTCTGAGACTGCAAGGCCGTCGGGGTCAATGCCTTTTGATTGGACTGGTCTTGGTGGAGTTACCTGTACCTCTTCCCACCGGTCTGGTTGTGGCTCCGGATCCTGGCTCGGTTGGAGACTTACCAGGGAAGAGTAGTCCTATTGGCTCCTTGGTGGCCAGCCCAGCCCTTGTTTCAGGAGCTTCTTGCTCGATGTTTGAACCCTAGGGGGGTCTTCCCGCAGCTCCGCCTCTTTCAGCAGATCAGTCCGGTACTTGGCTGGTTCGATCTTCTCCTCCACTCTTTGTGTCTTGTCTTTATGACGTGGGTGTATCTCTTCTTGTATGGTGATCAGATGGCTTCGTTGATGGTGTCCCACCTGTGAGTTTCGTCTAGACAGCAGTACGAAATTTCCTGGCGGTCCTTTCACCATTTTATGTCTCTTCGTAGGTTGTCTTCGATTTCTCATTGGGTGTTTTTGTCTTTCCTCTCTTGGTTGTTTCAGGACCGTCATCTTAGGCCAAATACTGTCGCCTCGTATCGCGCGGCACTGGCGGAGCCGCTGCAGCTTGCATTCAGGGTGGATGTCACTTCTGCTCCGTTCCGCAAGCTTTCTCGGGTGTTGTTTCACCTCCGGCCTGCTCATGCGCTGCCCGAACCGTCCTGGTCGTTGGAACGGGTGCTCTCTTTTCTCTCTCGGTTTGTGGTGGCCCCCCTCGGTTCAGGACTGTTTTTCTAAGGCTCTTTTTCTTGTTGGCATTGGCCTCTGGGGGTTGGGTCGGGGAGCTTCATGCTCTCCTCTGGCGCAGGGGTTTCTGCTCTTTCGGTCCCGGTGGTTGTTTCGTTCTTTTGCAGCCTCCTTGTTTTTTGGCAAAGAATGAGTCTGCTGCTTTCCAAAGAGGTCCTTAGGTTGTTGATGCTTGGTTGGTTCGGCCGGAGGTTCACCATGTTTTGTGTCCGGTTGCGGCTCTACGCCATTATCTGTGTGCCACGGCCTCCATGGCAGGAGACACGCTTTGGTTGGACCCGGTTTCTCTTATTCCCTGTTCCAGGGTGTCTCCCAGGTTGTCTACAGGATTATTTGGTCCAACAGCCTGCGGTCTATCCCCGTGCATGGGGATAGACCATGGGGATAGACCTCCAGGGCTTTTGGAGGTCGAACAGGGTCCTGGCTGCACAGTATCTCGTTAGTGTTCCTGGCCCTTCTCAGGCATGTGAAGCCTTTTGTCGCAAGTTGCAGCCAGTTGTCTCGACTTTGAGTTGAGGAGCGAGTGACGACCACCTCCCGGGTAAGTCCCTCTTATTTCTTTATCTTTGGTTAGATAGCTCCAAGGAGCTGAAGGGGCTCTCCACAGAAAACCAGCGTTGAATGTAATGAAACTCCATTTTCTGCGTGAGACCCGGAGGCTCCCCAGCATCCCTCCCTCCCTCTGGTCGGTGTTTTTATCGCATTTTTGATACTCAGCCTCTGAGTATCTGAAGAGAGTTGCCGGCGTGGAGGTCTGGGACCCCACCCCCCCGTCCCTAGCCAGGGAGGGGGTGGGGTTGCGCAGACGTATGCGTGGCGTTTGTGGTGACGTCATACTCGTTTCCTTAATTTTAACTGGAGTTCTGTTGCTAGTTTGTCCTTCGGTTTGCAATTTATTTGGCCAACAGTAGTTTGTTTTAAAATTCCTACCTTACTGAGTGCCTGACCTGGTAGATGGCAGACAAAGACTGCTTCCAATTACACGGGGGTGGCTTTAGGCCATTGCTGCTCATGCCTCTCTTGAGGGGGCCAGGTTTTGGCTCTGGTCCCCAGTAGGCCTAGAACTCCTTCGACTGACTGTTGCCACGGTCTAATATATACACATCAGCCCGGTATAGCTCTGGGGAGCCGAATGGCTCTCCACAGAAAATGGCATTTTATTACATTCAATGCTGGTTTTTTCTTCTATCTTGTATCTTAAGCAAATTGAACACTGGCAGACTCTCCTCGTAATTCTTATTTTTCAGTTCCAAGAGCAATTTAGTTGCTTGTCTTTTGCACCTTTTCCAGTTTGCTGATGTGCTACATGAGATATGGGCACCATACAACTGCTGGATGTTCCAATTTTGGTCTCGCAAATGTCGGGAACACTTTCTTTAGTATTTCACTGTCCACGTATTTGAAAGCGGTTTTGAAGTTGGCAAGCTTAGCATACGCTCCTCTCACAATGTCTTTTACGTTGTTCTCTGGTGCAACCCATCCTCAGACCAAGTACATTCTATCCAGCAGTCGTCCCCAAAGATGCATTCATAAATTTAAACATACTGTCTCCACTCGATCATCCGGACTATATGGGAAGGACCCCCAGCCGGATTATCACATTTTTCGGATAATGGTACTTTTTCACCTACGAGTCCAAAAGTGACCATTTCCAACTATTTTTATACTACAAACAACCAAATTTGAATTGCCTTGCCACATACAATTATTAAATATTCAACTAGAAACCTCACTTACCTTGTTGGTGTTCGTCTTCTTGATTGATGCCACACATCTTGAAATTAAAAATTCTTAACAATTTCCGTAACCTATACTAACACAACACTAAAGTTAACACTTAAAATTACTGTACAGTTCATTAAGCTAAGTTAGTTTTGACTGCCAGCTGCTGAAGCCTCACTGGTTGAGGGCATTTGGGTTGCCTGTGAGGCCTCACTTGTTGAAGGTGCTTGCTTGCACCTCACTTGTTGAAGCGCTTGCATGCCCTCACTTGTTGAAGGCGCTTGGCTTGCCTGTGACGCCTCACTTGTTAAAGGCGCTTGCTTGCGCCTCACTTGTTGAAAGCGCTTGGCTTGCCTGTGGCGCGTCACTTGTTGAAAGCGCTTGGTTTGCCTATAATGCCTCACTTGTTGAAGGAGCTTGGCTTGCCTGTGGCGCCTCACTTGTTGAAGGCGCTTGGCTGCCTGTGACGCCTCACTGTTTGAACAACACGTAACTTGTCTTTAATTGCTAGGACAATCTTCTTCCTCTTAACACTTCCAGAACGATTGATGCTGCTACCAGACATATTCTTGGCCAAAAATGTTCAAAATTACTATGAAAATTAAGAAAGTTATTTAAAAAAATATTTCACTAATGGCGCAACACTGTGAGGCCGCACTGGTTGAGGCGTATAACTGTGACTTGTCTTTAATTGTTAGGACAACTTTCTTCCTCTTAACACCTCCAGAACGATTGATGCTGCTACCAGACATAGTCTTGGCCAAAAATGTTCAAAGTTACTATGAAAATAAAAAAGTTATTTAAAAAAATATTTCACTAATGGCGCAGCACTGTGTATAACACGAGGGACGGACGCACATGGGTTGACCAGTGTTGGACAGGTCCACTTGGGGCAGCCATAGCGTTACGTAGGCCGCCAGGAGGAAAAAATTCACAATAATTTTTGAAGGAAACTTCAGCCTGTGCACAATGCTTTTAGGAAACTTATTTATTTGTTATTACATAATTACTAGTAGTTATTTTATTTGTTTTTGGCTATGATTAATTGTTCTAAAATTAATGGTAATTCCTGTACCCAGGTAGTCCCTCCTGACGCACCCCTCCCACCCTCCCAACACCACCCACCCACCCCACCCCCACCTACACCATGCGCCTCGAGTCTCGGGTAGACGGGATTAATACCGTATGGCCCGCCTCATGTTTTCATATACGGACAAAGGCACGATTATCCGGGGGACTGACCGGATAGTGTAATTTCTGCAGAAAACCTGCTTTAATCCGGTCCCTGTGGCTATTTTGGCCGGATATTGTGATAACTTTATCCATTCACGATTTTGGCCGTATAAGGGCGTTTTTCGGATGTTCGAATCCCGGATAATCGCGGGGTTACAGTAATGTTCTCAAATATATTTTTATTTTTTTTCTCAATTTTCTCAAATATAAAGTAATATTATTTTATATTACCATATTGTACATATTTAGGCACTAGTTAGGTTAGGTTAGGTGTTTAGGTTCTGTTGGCGATTATTTGGATTTGTAGTTTGTGGGTGAAGCATTTACAGCATTGTGGTTCGAACAAAATTCGTCAGTGAAGCATTTGTTCCGGAAGTGTTCAAACGTCATCAGTTGTGAGTTGTGTGTTAACTGTTTTTCATTCATAAACACCTGGGGGGTTTGGCAGGTGAATGGAATGGACTTTGGGTTTTTGTTCGGAGGACGGGCTGTTGGGTGAGAGTACCACCCAGTACCACCTCTTAGATCTCTTTCCTTGTCAGTGTTTTGTAAAGCCTTTTCACATAATTTGTAGGTTGTGTGTGGCCTCTTTTTCTCCTAATCAACATTCCTTAACATGGCATTTATTCATGTTGAATTCCATCAGCCAAGTGTTACTCCATACACCTATTTTGTACAGGTCATCTTCAAGGACATAAGTCATGTGTAACAAGCAGTGTGAATCCTGTGTGTAAATGAGCAGCTTGTATACTGTGTGTAAATGAGCAGCTTGTATACTGTGTGTAAATGAGCAGCTTGCATACTGTTTGTGTAAATGTGCCGCTTGTATACTGTGTGTAAATGAGCAGATGTATACTGTGTGTGTGTGTAAATGACCAGCTTGCATATAGTGTAAATGAGCAGCTTGCATACTGTGTGTAAATGAGCTGCTTGTATACTGTGTGTAAATGAGCTGCTTGTATACTGTGTGTAAATGAGCTACTTGCATACTGTGTAAATAAGCAGGTTTGTATACTGTGTATAAATGAGCAGCTTGCATGCAGTGAGTGTAAATGAGCAGCTTGTTTACAGTGTCATTAACCATTGTGCTTGACACAGATGCTGGTGTTGACATTGGGTCCAAGGACAAGGATGACCTAGCCCCACAGCCTGAGGAAGATGCTGGTAGTGGTGTAAGCGACGAGGATAACGAAGCACCCGTGCTGGAAACAACCCATATGTATTCCATTGATAAACAGGAGGTGGCCATTGTGCAAGTGGGTAATGGTGGCACTCTTCAAGGTAAGGCAAGGTAAATTATAGTCACTAACTTTTGCTTGTGACTATAATTTGTTGAGCTTAATTGCATTAACCCCTTCCGTTACTCTTGCACGTCTTTGTTTCCTTCTCTTACTTGTAGACATCTGTAGTGGCATCTGATTTTTGGTGGCATATATTAACGTATTTTTGTCTTCATTACTGCTTGGTTCTAACCTTCTGCTTCATAGTTTTCATTTTTAGTCCATCTTTCTGATATTGCTGCACATAGTTTCATGTTATTACCATTCACACTTTTATTCCATTCCATATCTAAACCTGTGTAAGGCTGTAGTGTGCTTGTGTCTTAACGAAGTAGGTGCATTGCATCTGGACTGGGTTTGCTATAATTTGTAATATCCTAAATGTTTGGTTAACTTTTGCATTCCTGCCTGTGGGTTCTGTGAGCTTCCTTTAAAAAACATGTACTGACAGCCCTTGATATGTTAGACTGGTGTTACAAAACTGCTAAAAATGTACAAATCAAACTTCAAAGATATGTATGTCAAGAATTGGCTTCATTCCAAAGACCTGCAAATGTCCACTTTTCCTATACTTTATTCAGTTAAAAGCTTTTTTCCATTCAGTAATCAATGAAAAACTCTTCCCATTCTTTTCTCATTGAAAACTCTTTCCATTATCTTCTCAGTGAAATGCCTAATGTTTCCCTACTCTTTCCAGCCAAAAATAGAGCACATAATAAAATCCAAAATGCTGGGGATGCTTAATAATGTAATCCACATCCCTGCAGAGGTTCAGAAGGCCCTTGGTGCGTACCTCCTGCGAGACCAGTTTTACACCTGTGTTGGATCTGGTTTTGTTTGAGTTCAGTTCCTCTTTCCCTGATCGGGTGAATTCCAAGGTTCCGGTGTCTTCCTGGCTGGCATCCTGCCTCGATGACTTTGCTGTGGGCTCCCTGCTGGTTTGCTTGTCTGCTAGCTGGGGTTCTGATTCTTTCCCAGCTTGCCGGGTCTGGGTTCCCGGTAACTTGAAGACAGTCCCAGTTGGTTCCGGCCCAGGTTTGGACTTGGCTGGGTCTAGTATGGGGTTCTTGCACTGCATCTATTTCTCTCCCTCCTGTGGCTTTGCTCCAGTTGCAGTCCTGCCTTCAGCCGTTTTTGAACGGGAGCCGTTGTCAATCATCGGTTGCTCCAGCAGCCGTGCGGGAGCCTGAACTTTGCTGTGCTTGTTTATATGCTGGGCAGAGTTTGGCTTCGGAGGCTGTTTTGGTATTTTTAGAGTGGCCTCTTTCACCATTCTCGCATTCACTGGGTTCGTTTCCTGGTGTCCTTGTGCTGGTTGCTCTGTCCGTATCTTCTTTGTATCTTGAGTTGATTTTAGGGCTCGGCGACCCCGCGGCCCGGTCGTCGACCAGGCCTCCTCGTTGCTGGACTGGTCAACCAGGCTGTTGGACGCGGCTCCTCACAGCCTGACGTATGTGTCGCAGCCTGGTTGATCAGGTATCCTTTGGAGGTGTTTGTCAAGTTCTCTCTTGAATACTCCGAGGAGTCGGCCAGTTATGCTCCTTATGTGTAGCGGAAGCGTGTTGAACAGTCTCGGGCCTCTGATGTTAATAGTTCTCTCTCAGAGTACCTGTTGCACCTTTGCTCTTCAAAGGGGGTATTCTGCACATCCTGCCATGCCTTCTGGTCTCATGTGCTGTTATTTTTGTGTGCAGGTTTGGGACCAGCCCCTCTACTGTTTTCCATGTGTAAATTATTATATATCTCTCCCGCCTGTGCTCAAGAGAATACAGATTTAGGCTCCTTAGTCGGTCCCAGTAGTTTAGATGTTTTACTGAGTGGATTCTAGCAGTAAAGGATCTCTGCACACTCTCCAGGTCAGCAATTTCTCCAGCTTTGAAAGGGGCTGTCATTGTGCAGCAGTATTCCACTCTAGAGAGCACTAGCATCTTGAAAAGTATCATCATCGGTATAGCATCTCTAGTGTGAAAGGTTCTTGCTATCCAACTTGTCATTTTTCTTGCAGTTGTGATGGCTACTTTATTGTGTTCTTTAAATGTAAGGTCTTCTGACATCAGTACACCCAAATCCTTTACATTGCCTTTCCGTTTTATATTATGATTTGACCGAGTTTTGTACGTGGTTTCCGTTTTTATATTTTCATTTTTTCTGTAGCGCATGAGCTGAAACTTATCTTCGTTAAACACCATATTATTTTCTGTAGCCCGTAGAAAGACCTGATTGACATCTGATTGGAGGTTTGCCGTGTCCTCTATGTTGTCTACTTTCATAAAAATCTTAGTGTCATCTGCAAAGAAAGATACAGTACTATAGGTTGTGTCCTTGTCTATGTCCGATATGAGGATGAGAAAAAGTACTGGAGCAAGCAGAGTACCCTGGGGTACTGAGCTCTATACAGTTGATGGTCCGGATTATATTTTGTTTACTACACATTGGGTTCTATTAGTCAGGAAATTGTAGATCCATCTGCCTATTTTTCCGGTAATTCCCTTTGAACGCATTTTATGTGCAATAACACCATGGTCACATTTGTCAAAGGCTTTTGCAAAATCTGTGTATGTCACTGGCTTTCTCTTCGGAGTTTTTGGGGTTCAGTATCATGGCACCTCTCTCTTTTCTCGCTCGATGTGTTCCTGTATGCATAGTCTCTTGGTTGGGGTTTTGTGACCGGTGCTCACCTATCCGGCATGGGGTGTTGTGGGCTCATCTTACATCGAGCCCAGTCCGATGGGAGTTGCGGTGGTGTGGCACTACTGCAGATTCGGCTTCCTCGGGGCCCTTATTTCTGACTCCATTCAGACTGCTCCCCCATGCTTCATTTTTGCTACTGGGTGGGGGGGGGGTGGGGGTCTATTCAGTACGTGGCCCTTTAGGGCTTGTCACTTCAGGTAGACAGAGTGGAGGGTCATTGCAGATTCCCTCCGATGGCAATACTGGACGTACAAACTCCCAGAGGTGGATCTCTCTGTGTTGGTTTGGTCTTGGCGTCTCCCATTGTAAGTGGCACCGTTTCCTGCCTGTGAGGCTAGGGATGGATGCTTTTCGGCAGGACTTGAGGTGGAGGTCCCTGTACCTCTTTTACTAGCTGGGAATCCTAGCCGGGAAATGTTTGCTTCACTTAGTTCCATGGTGGCTGGATCAGCCTTGGTTTCAGGCGCTGCTTGCTAGGTGTCCGAACCTGGGTAGTTTTTTGTGGCTCCAACTCTTTCAGCAGGTTGGGCCGGTGAGGTACCTCGCTGGTTCGCTTTTTTGCTCCGCAATATGAGTTAGGTATTTCTGACGCTTGTGTCTCGCCATTTGTATGGTAATCAGGTGGCTTCTTTGATGGTGGCCGCCTACGGTCATCATCAGGGAGCCGGTTGGCTGAGCGGACAGCACGCTGGACTTGTGATCCTGTGGTCCCAGGTTTGATCCCGGGCACCGGCGAGAAACAATGGGCAGAGTTTCTTTCACCCTATGCCCCTGTTACCTAGCAGTAAAATAGGTACCTGGGTGTTAGTCAGCTGTCACGGGCTGCTTCCTGGGGGTGGAGGCCTGGTCGAGGACCGGGCCGCGGGGATACTAAAAAAAAAAAATAAGCCCCGAAATCATCTCAAGATAACCTTAAGAATCTCAAGATAGATCTTCTCAGCGACATTGTGGTTTCTTGGAGATCTTTCCATCATTTTCTTTCTCTTCATCAGTTTTTGTCGATTTCAGACCAGATTGTTTTGTCCTATCTTTCTTGGCTTTTCTGGATTGGCATCTCTTGTGTACTTCTGTCGCTTCTTATTGAGCACTGTTGGCAGAGCCGCTGCAGCTTGTGTTTGGGGTGAATGTCACTTCCGCTCCGTTCAGCAAACGCTCTCGTGTGTGTTTTCACCTCCGGCCTCCTCATGCACTGCCTTCTTGATTTTTTAACCGAGTTGTTTCTTTCTTTTCCTCGGTTTGTAGTGGCCTCTTTGGTCCTTGATTACTTTTGGAAAGCCTCGTTTTTGTTGGCTTATGCCCCTGGGGGTCAGGTTGGGGAGCCTCATGCTCTTCTCCGACACCGGGAGTTCTGTTCATTTGGTCCTGGTGGTTGTTTTGTTCATTTGCAGCCCTCTCCTTGTTTTCTTGTGAAGAGAGAGATACAGTAGTGGGCTTCCAGAGGGGGCCCATTGGTTGTGGATGCTTGATTGGTTAGGCAGGGGTGCATCACGTGTTGTCCAGTGATGCTTGTGACAGGGTTTACCTGGGGGGGGGGGAGGCGATCTTGAGCGCCTTAATGCGTGTTTGTTCGCCCCTGTGCTTCCTCGGAATGTTGGCCATGTGTAGCTGCGCATGCCGGTTCCCACCCTTTCGGCATCTTTGGTAGCTGAGGACTTGTGTGCCCGGGGGCATTTGGCTTTGGTCTTGACCTCTTTTGCCCTTTTCGAACTATCCTCGGACTGGCTTGAGGAGGATGTAGGGGCATTGAGTGCCTGGCCTTCGTCTGGGTCGGTGGCTAGGGTGTCGGCCACACTGTTGAAGCTGTTTGTACCGATTCTTAAGAAGACGGTGTCTATGTTATTTGCTTCTTGCTTCGCATACCGGCAGATTGTGCTCGCTCTCTCTTTGGAATCCACTTTGGCCCCTGGCTCTTGGGATTTTGTTGCCGTATTATCCATTGCTGTTAGCGGAGACTCCTATCACGCAGTTTCTGCAGGCGTCGTCGTCTACTTGTCGTCTTATGTCGGTTTTGTTAGTTCTTGGCCTTCTCAGAAGTGTTGTGCTAGGGCTCAGGTTTTCGTAGGACGTGGTAGGCCATTGGTGCCAGCTTCTGAGCCAGCGTTGCCCTGGGAGCCAATGTCGTCTTGGCAGTGCAGTGGTCGCTCTGCTCGTCGGCTGACTTCTCGTATGGGATGTTGGAAGTTTCGCGGTTCGTCCTGTTGACAGGGCAATAGAGAGGAGGCTCGTGCTGTTTCCTCACGCCTGGTCCCATGGTTCGTGGGCGTTTCAGGTAATATCCACCGGCTTGTGGTGGCGTTAGGTGGCTCCTCCTCCTTTGGAGGGTTCGGGGCTGGCAGGGCAGGGTTCTTCCCCTGCGCTCCTTCAAGTATTCTTGGATTGGATGCTCTTGGACTTGGTAGATGATCCTGCCCCTCAGGTGAAGTTCCCGCCCGTTTCCAGTGCCGAAACGGGACTGTGCGGATCTACGGTTCATTCTGTACTTGTTCTGTCTGAACCCCTGGATTCCTTGCCCCCTTCGTTCGGCTGACCACTCTGTCTCAGGTCTGGCTTCTGTTGGAGCCGGGTGCCTGGATGGTGTCCCTGGACCTCAGGGACGCGTATTGGCACGTTCCCATTCATCTGGGGTTCAGGGACTGGTTAAGTTTCATGGTGGGGTATCAGGCTTAATGCTTTTGTTGCGTTCCTTTTGGCTTGGTGATGCTCTGGCACCTCATGTATTCACACGTCTTACCCGGGTCGTGGTAACCTGTCAAACCTAGGGGTTTGGGTTCTGGCCTACCTCGATGACTGGCTGGTGTGGACTCCCAGCCGGTCTGATTGTCTGCTTACCAGGGGTGTAGTTCTTTCCAAGCTCGCCGGGTTCGGGTTCCTGGTGAACTGGCAGAAGTCCCATCTGCTTCCGTCCCAGGTTTGGACCTGGTTTGGTCTTGTTTGGGACTCTTGGACCCCTTCCATGACTCTTCCTCCAGAGGTGATGCTGTGGCTAAATTCCTGCCTTCAGCTGTTTCTGGTGGGGGTACCAGGTCACTCGGCGGTTGCTTGAGCAGTTGTGCGGGAGTCTGAACTTCGCTGTGCTGGTTTACCCGCTGGGTCGGGTTTGGCTTCTGTGTTTGTTCTGGATCCATCGGGGATACCCCTTCCACTTCTCTTGCGATTGCTAGGTTCAGCCTCCATGTGCCTTGCATTGGTTACTTTGTTGCCAGCTTCCTCTTCAGGTTTTTTTGGGTTCAGTGCCTTGGCGCCTATACGAGCCCCTCACTCGATGTATTCACGAATGAGTCTTCTCTCAGCTAGGGCTTTGTGACCAGTGCTTACCAAGCCGACCAGTGGCAGTGGGATCTGTCCTTCTTTCAGCATGGTCGAGGCGTCTCCCGATATACACTGTATGTGGCGCCCTTTCCTAACTGAGGAGCCTTTGCGGTGGCTGCTTCCGGCTGGACTGATCGAGGTGGGGTTACCTGTACCTCTTCTCCCCGGTCCAGCTGTTGCTTTATGTTCTTGCGCAGCTGGAATCCTACCCATGTGAGAGTCATCCTGGTGGCCCCTTGGTGGCATGATTTCAGACGCTACTGCCTCGGTGTCCGAACCTGGGGCATTTTCCGCAGCTCTGCCTCTTCCAGCAGATCAGACCGGTCCAGTACATGGCTGGTTTGGTCTTCTCCGCACTTCTTGTCTGGTTTTTTTGACGTGGGTTTATCGCTATCTTTCTAGTGATCAGGTAGCTTCATTGATGGTGTCCCACCTGAGAGCTTCATCTCGGCAACAATATGAAGTTTCCTGGCGTTCCTTCCATCATTTTCTCTCTCCTCGTAGGTTGTCTTCCATTTCTGATCGGGTTATCTTCTTCTTTCTTTCTTGACGTTTTCAGAACTGTCATTTGATGCCGAATACTGTCATCTCATATTGTGCAGCACTGGCGGAGCCGCTCCAGCTTGTGTTTGGGGTAGATGTCACTTCTACCCCATTTCGTAAGCTTTCTCATGCTTTGTTTCACCTCTGACCAGCTCATGCGCCACCTGAGTCATTCTGGTCCTTGGACAAGGTGCTCTCCTATCTCTCTCTCCTCCTCAGTTTGTGGTGGTGCCTTCGGTTCAAGATAGTTTTTCCAAGGCTCTCATTCTGTTGGCATTGGCCTCTGGGGGTCGGGTTAGTGAGCTTCGTGCTCTCCTCCTGTGCAGGGGTTTCTGCTCTTTTGGTCCTGGTAATTGGTTTGTTCAGTTGCAGCCTTCTTCTTTTCTGGCAAAGAACAAGACGACTGCTTTCTGGAGCGGTCTTTGGGTCATTGATGCTTGGTTGGTCAGGTCGGGGGTGCATCATGTGCTGTGTCCGGTCGCGGCTCTTCGCCGTTACCTACGCGCCTCGGCTTCTGTGATTAACCCTTAAATGGCGCATGGCTATTTACCATGTGTCACCCACAGGCACATACCAGGCACTGGTCTGTTTTGAAAAAAAAAAAATGGCTATTTTTTTCTTCCTAACCTGTTAATTTGTGTTCACTGATCATGGGAAAAATAATAAAAAAATCGTAAGTGGCATATATTGCCCGCTATAGGGCGGGGAAGTCTGGCAAAAAACAGGCGCTGACTCAGCGTGCGTCCCAGGCGGTCTGTTGCTCGCCAGCTGTCAGGCCGGAGTTGCCACAAAGAGATAATTACCTAATTATTTCAATGTCTCTGATTGATTTTTTGTAGTTTTTTTTGCTGTAATATTATTCAATAGTGTGTAGTGTGATATATTTATATAATAAAATGAGTGAATCATCGCTGTACTCAAAAATATGGTGTGCATATTGTTGATTCAATTATGTTCATCAATCAGTGAACAAATACTTTGTCGGTTATTACACTATATACACAGGTTATATATAAGTATCTGCATGTTTTGTTCACCATAACGAACTACTAAGTTGCTATTATGAGTCAAAAAGTAACGAGGAGTGACAGCCACACACCAGCCAGCCACTCACTCACTCCCTCAACACCTCACTCGCCCACATTCTCCTCCCACAATACTGTTTTTGCTTTTATTCACTATATACAGACGTTATATATAAGTATCTACATTCGTGTTCACCATAACGAACCACTAAGTTGGTATGCTGAGTGGCAGTGGCAGCCCGCCACTGGCTGCCACTCCCTCCCTCCCTCACCTCACCTGACTTGCCACCATTCTCCTCCCACCATACTGTTTTTGCTTTTATATACAGACGTTATATATAAGTATTTACATGTTTTGTTCACCATAACTGTACATCTAAGCTTGTATGGTGAGTAAAGGCACAAAGACGTAGCTACTCACACAGTCAGCTGGTGGCGGCCGCCCTCAAGGCCAGACGCACTAATATTTCTCCTCCAACAATACTGTTTGTGGTGTTATTACGCTATATACACACATTATATATAAATATCTACCTGTTTTATTCACCATACTTGTACAAGTAAACTGGTATGGTGCCCAAAGACCATAGTGGTCACCAGTAAACAACATGATAAGTCGTGCAGACGACGCCACCTCCCTCACCAAAATGGCGGCTCCCAACCTACTCCTCTTGCTGTTTATACCCTCTATACACACGTTATATATAAGTATCTACATTTGTGTTCACCATAGCGAACCACTAAGCTGGTATGGTGAGTGCAGTCAATAAAAGGTGGCCACACACAGTCAGAAGACAACGCCACCACCCTCCCTCCCACAGCATTACTCCTCCCTCCATGGAGCACAGCGCTAAATATCACCACAATCCTGCTATTATCAGAACCCTGGTCAGTTTTATCACAGTCAGGGGTCTTCTGTAATAATATCATCGCTACATAATAGCATGAACAAGTATATTATGGCATTTTTAGGCGATGCTGTGGTCACAAGCTGAACAGCAGTGCTGTGAGCTCATGCTGCGTGCGTCAGGCTTGGTAGCTCACTCAATACTGAGGCCCCTAACACCCGGGAATTTGGCCCACGATTTTTTTTTTAAATGGCGTCTGTTTACAAGAGCCCTGATGAAGGTGTGGTGAACCCCGTGTATCCGCGGGCCGTTTAAATCTTGCGTAGTACTCCAAAGCATCATATGATGCGATGCGCAATTTACTGCAAGTCGGTCAAAGCATCATATGATGCGATGTGCAACTTAAGGGTTAAGTGTTGGAAGCATATATCTGTGGTGGTTTGTTGGAAGCATATATCTGTGGTGGTTTGTTGGAACACACATATCTGTGGTGGTTTGTTGGAAATGTTTATTTCTGTGGTGGTTTGTTGGAAACACACATATCTGTGGTGGTTTGTTGGAAATGTTTATTTCTGAGGTGGTTTGGTGGAAACAAAAATATTTCTGTGGTGGAAGGTGCTGAGGACTTTGTATTTTGAATATAGTGGATAATATCTAAAAGCAGAACGTTCATTTCTCTCATCTGTCATTCTCTTTCTGTATTGTAAATAATTGTGTTGCTCTTAGGGATTGGTTCATGAAGCACTCTTGAGAGCATTAAATCAAATGAGAGACTAACGTGAATACTCAGACTACTACTATGTACTACTAATAATAAAATGTAGTATAGATATCTACTTATCATCAGTAAAAACAAGGGTCCAGTGAGGGATAATTTCTTTTATGAAAATTTAACTTTATTTTTATCATGGCTTTTGTCTTAACTGAAACTTCCTCTTAAGTTTTCACATATTTTATATTAATTAAACAGTTTACAAGCTTGGAAATTCTGAGGTCATTGTCGACCCAAGGTTATATTGTTATAACCTCGTAGTTGTGGGAGCTTGTGAATTGCTCAAGAAATAGAAACTAAGCCAAGATGATTGAGAAGAGATGTACATGTCTCATAAGTGGACATGTTAGTACTCCTGGTCCTGGGTCTTTATCATCTCATCATCCACTGCTATATCTAATATTTTAATCTACACTGGTTTCTAATAACTGTGGTTATCAACACAGTAGGTGGTGTCAACGAGAGCGGTGAGAAACCAGGAAAACCTGCCAAGCCTGAGAAGCGTCCAAATATCCTCCCCCGTCCCCCGTCCCTCACCTCAGACCAGTTGGAATCTGTAGGATCACTCGGGTCACTCTCAGGTCAGAATAACAGAGCCCATTGCAGTTATCCCATTAGAAGTTAGAAGTGGTATTAGGAGGAAGAAGAGTTAGTTCCCTGTATGCCTTAGTGAATTAATATTTGAAAATAAGCAAGAGATGGTTGAGAATATATTGAAGCTGTACAAGGGGATTAAACCCACATCCCTTAACTCCTCAGGCATGCGGGTTAGATCCCATCGTACGGCTTCTATGTTTTCTCAAAGGTATATATATATGATGTTCTTGTTATATTGCGCAAGAGATGGTTCCGGTTAATACACGGATGTGAACTTCCTTTATAAAACACTGATATTTCAGTAAGGAAATTAGTAACATTGAAGGTTTTGTGTATTATTACCAGCTACTGTTTGAAAAAAGATTGTGAGAAGGTTGTAACATTGAATAGTTATTGTGACACGTGAAGAAGTTATTGTAACAGTGCATTAACCGTTGGGCGGCACTTGGGATTAAAGCCTGTAACACCACTAGTTGCAAGAAAAAAAATCTACAAAAAAATTCTTCTAAGGTTGTTAAAATGTTTCCTTACCATGGGAAAAATAATAAAAAAATCGTAGGTGACATATTTTGGGCGAGGAAGTCTGGCAAAATTGAGGCATTGACAGAGCCATACAGAGCCACCATACTGTTACTGTTTTTATTACACTATATACACACATGTCATATATAAGTACCTAACATGTTTTGTTCACCATAACTATGCAATTAAGCTGGGATGGTGTCGAAACAACACAGTGGCCACCATACACTGCACGACAAGGCATACAGCAGACAACAGCATATAGACAGCAGACTATATACACACATTATATATATAATTATCTACATTTGTGTTCACCATAGCAAACCACTAAGTTGGTATGGTGAGTCCAGAAAATGACAGGTTGCCACAGTCGGCAGACGATGCTGCCTACCTCCCTTCCTCACCAACATTACTCCTCCCACAATGCTACACACAGCACTAATTATCACCACAATCCTGCTATTATCAGAATCCTGGTCATTTTTATCTCAGGGGTCTTCTGTAATACTATCATCACTAAATAATGCCAGTTACTTTTAAGCCCATTGTGATGCAATGGGTAATGTGTGTGTGTGTGTGTGTGTGTATATGGTGACACACGACATGGTTTTAGTTTCGTCATATTGCCCTGGAAGATTTTCTTGTATATATATCATTCTAATGGTATTTTAATGTGACATTAATATACATGTGTAATGTATAGTACTGAAGAATAGAACATGCTAGATGTGTATTCTTAAAAATTGAGATGTGTTTTAAGTCTTCCAGAGGATTACAAGTTTCACATACTGTAGAAAATAAATGAATGACAACAGTGTGAGGTTGCATACAAAAGTTGTGTAGGTGAATCAAAGTAAAGAGAAAATAGGTGGTGCAGACATAAGGAGAAAACCTTCATGCACACTGCACATTCCATAAAGAAGAAGAAAACAGGATAGTTCTGAAATATTCATATATTTGTTTTGATTAATTTTCTGGAGGGTGGTCCCTGAAGCTATCTTGCTGAGAGTTTTCATACATTTTTATACATTTTTCATACATTTTTCATTTCATTTTTATGTTACATTGGTTGTGGAAGTTCTGTTGGGCCTACCAGGGAACAGGGGCAGAACCAGTTGTCAGTAAAGCTTTACTGACAACTGGAGGGTTCAAAGAAAATGAAACCTCAAAACTGCCAAATAGCTCCTTAAACGATTCACAAAGAACATGAGATTTACTCAAATTAACTCAAATCTTATTAGTACTGATTACCAACAACGGGTAATAGGGCTCCAATCATAGGGTTGGAGAGTTTCAGGCTCTTCTCCGGTGGCTGGGGATTCTTTTCCATTGGTCCTGCTGGGCAGTTTGTACATTTGCAGCCTTCTCCTTCTTTTCTGCTGAAGAATGAGTCAACGGGGTTCCTATGGTGATCGATACTTGGGTGGTTTGACTGTGGGTGCATAATTTGTCGTCTTATGGGCGACTTTTTGCCGCTACATGCAGGGCACTAGTTCAGTTTTGGTAGATTCCCTGTTGGTTGACCTTGTTTTCTTGGCCCCCTGTTCTTAGGCTTGAAATTCTTAGGTTGTCCTTAGTGTCATTATGTCTAGCCAGCCTATGGTCTACTCCCGGGACGTGTGATGGTCATAAATATATGGCTGTGGCTGCAGTATTCTCTTAACATGTCTTGAGCTAATATTTATGATGGGGGGTATTCTAACAGGGATTGCAGTATTTCATCATTGTTCCTGGTCCCAGTTGGTCATGTGATGCTTTGGGCCATGTCTTTTGGCCTTGGTTCTCTTCCATGTTATAATGACTGTTGCCTCTCCTTCTTGGGAAGTCCTGTTTTTGTTCTTTATGGTTAGCTTCAGGGAGGCACCCGGGGGGGGGGGGGGGGGGGGTTGGGTTTGGACTCCATCCAGAAACCCAGCATTGAATGTAATAAACTTCTTTCTGGTGGAGGTCCAGTGGCTCCCTGATTCCCCACCCCCTTCTCTCTAGAACATAGATGGGGAGTTGGCTGGGGCTGGGCCACCTGGTGGTGGTGATCAGCACGTACAAGTTTCCAGCTACTTTGAGTGAATCCCTTGTTCTGTGTGAACCATTTGCAGAGTTGCTTGGCAGTGTTGAGGTTTCATTTTCTGTGAACCCTCCAATTGTCTATAAAGCTTCGCCATCTTTCTGGAGGCTTTTTCTGGTGGGGTGGTGGATTGTCGCTCACTGCCTGTACCTCTTATCAGGGGTGCCAAGTTCGGGCTCTGGTCCTCGATAGGCCAAACAGAACTCCCACAAATGATATAACCTTTTAATATTAAACAGTCTCAGCACGATAACTTCAGGGAGTCACTGGGGCTCCTCTAAAAAGAGGCATTTCATTGCATTCAATGCTAGAATTTTTTTGAATGTTAGTGATGATGATAAATAGAATTCTGGTATTTTTTCAAGCTATTCCATTGAGTTACTCTTTAGAACAATGTCCTTTTGGTCTCAATGGCCAGAATCATAATGGTTGGGACAGGGTGACATTCAACACCAATACAACAATGATCTTTCTGTGGGGAGCCCCGTCAGCTTCCTGAGGCTATCCGAACTGATATGTGCTATATTATTTTGGGGTCATCAGTCACAGGAGTTCTTATGCCTACCGGGGACCACGAGCCAGAACCTGGCCCCCCTCAGAGAGGCACAGGGAGTAATGGTCTATGAGCACATTACATTTAAAGTATGTCATAATTGACATCGACCGGGGAAGGACCCAGAGAGGTAGGAGAATCAAAATAGACCACTGTCTGGTTAAACTGTGCAATCTACATCCAAAAAGATAAAAATAACTCCCCTAAAAAGCAACCCTTCATGCAACTAGTACTTCTGCTTGTTAGCGCTACCCCTGGAAGAGGTAACAAGTGGAGTGGAGTGCTTGTCTCCAGTACTTAAACTTATGTGCCAGCAATCAGATCAGTCACTTCTGGCCTCACATTCCTGTTCTGGATTTTGCACTATGTGGCAGTTCCAGCTGTGTATGGTGTGGTGGCCAGGTGTCTTAGTGTACAGGAGTAGCATGTGCTTAGGGTGACCTTCCCTAGTTGCTCCGTGAATACTGCCCTTGCTCGTCAGGGTTACCTTCCCTGGGGCATTCAGGAATCACTTCCCATTTGAGGCCTTCATCGCTTGATGTTGTCTTCACCCTTAAGGTACGTCGGGGGTCTAGGGCTTTCTGTCTTGCCCCAGGTAAGTGTTATTGGCACTGTGGCTGGCATAGCTAGCTTTACTTCAATGCAACGGCTGATGTTTCTCTCTGACTGCCAGTTCGTTTGTTGTGTGTCTTCTGTGGGTTTTGTTTTCATTTTCTTTTATTCACTGGCATTCTTGCCTAGTTTAGATGTAGAAGGTCTATTTAGCTTCTTATTAGGCTAGCCTAGGTTGTGTTGGTAGCCTTCCTCTGTTTCCCCCGAGGTTTCATAGCTGCTACTGGTGGTCAGTTTGCCTGCTACCTGACAGGGTTCTACTGGCTTAGCTGGGCCCAGTGCCTGGGCTTCCCGTAGAGCTAATTCACCTTATGGGCCCTGAAAACCCCCTGTAGGCTCTGTTGTACAATGGTCACTTCTTCCAAGCCTGCTCTCGCCTTGTAGGAAGTCGAAGGTTGTTCGTTGCCCATGCCTCAGGGAAAGCACATCCATACTGCTTCCGTCACGCTGCCTGCTGGGTCGGAGACACCACCAAACCAGAGTATTTTGGGCCTTGTTTCCCACTTGTACTTCACTCTACTCATGCCTTGTCTGTTGATCTCAAAGAGCTGGCAGCAGCTGTGTTGCATGTTCGATTCTCCTTACTGCAACGAGCCTGGTTGGTTACCTGGTTGGAGCCCCAGAGCTGCCCCGCTTGCGTTTTAGAGCCCAGGATTTGGGGACGTTAGTCGCTTCGATCTCGGTTCCTTCCTCGCTCTTGCTTCTTTCCCAGGTGGGCGTGGTTTGCCCTGCTCCTTTTTCCCCATGCTTCGGGCTCCCGAACTTCTGAGAATTTTGAAGTTGGGGAGGGATTTTGCTTGGGTGGCTTCGGGGGCTGCCCTTTCCGATTCTGGTAGGTGGTAGAGTCCAATTTTCTAGCCGAGGCTTCTGGGTCAACTCAGCAAACTCCCTTCTTCGAAACTTTCCCCTGGATGGCACCTTTTCTTCACGGGTGGTAGGCGTGGAAGAGGGCTATCCCGGGGGGCCTGTTTCGGGAGTTCCTGGGGGCTTGGGGGGAGTCCACTTGGAGCGTTTGGGCTCCTTTTGCCCGTTTGGGCCCTTGTGCCTTCTGGGCAGGGGTTGTTGCTGTAGGGAAGGGGTTTTCATCGAGTCCTTCCCTTTCTGAATTAATAATTAATTTTACCATATATGCCGTCATGGTTTATGCACCTTCGTGTTGGGCACATCCATCTTTTGATTGGATCTTTGGTCCGGGGGGAAGGGGTTGGAATATTAATATCACTACTTTT